ACGTGTGAAATTCTGGGCACTGAAGATTGTAACATTTTGTTTTCCTTAATTTAAAATTTACAGTTAAGGTGGAAGTATATACGCGGGGACGCTGAGCCCCGGAAGCACCTCAAGGTGACCTCAAGATACTGTTCCAAAACGGAATGTACCCCTCCCCAACATGTTCCTGCATTTTCGAGGAAGCATAAAAGTGTATTTTGCGCCTTGTGCCCCATATTTGCATATTCCTTGTGCATAGAATTTGAAAATATTCTGTTTTTATTGTTCTGGTTATTTATACCTGTGCTTGTCTTGCCCATCTCTTCATTGGAGCCATCTCAGTTTTTTGTCCTAATTCCTTCGTTTACGCATTTTTTTCCACTGTTGCTCTTTTCGTTATAGAGAGAGAGAACAAAGGTGTCAACAGGATAGGCATTGAGTCGAAGAAATATAACGGTATTATATTCACATTCCAATAAGTAAAATAACATATTTTCTTGCATCATTGCATCGTTATATTACCTGACTCTGCAATATTGCTGCTGTTCTGTACCACGATACTCTCCCCCTTCACAGTACTGCTGTGGTTCTCTAAACTACCAATTTCTAAGTTTGGGTCATTGTCCGGTGTTGTTTTTTCACAATCCACATATATCGTTGCTAGCTTTTCTGTGAATGTTAATTTGTGTGCCTCAGGTATGTCATTCATCAGTTTGGTTATGTTTTCCCATATTAACCTGTCCTTGTTGCAAATCTAGTATATTCCTTGTCTGTTTGTGCATGCTGTAGATAATTCTGCACAGCTCAGGTGAAATCTTGTTACAGATGCAACATTTGACGCCTACAATACACCTCCTAAATGGATCAAAACACTTGCCACACACCGTCATTGTCTTATGTATTGTATTTGCGCTTCACCAGGCTCCTGACAGCTGGGTGGACAGTGCTTCGGATTCGTAGTCCTGAGGTTCCGGGTTCGATCCCCGGTAGAGGCGGAGACAAATAGACAAAATGTTTCTTTCACTTGGATACCCCTAGCAGTAAATAGGTACCTAGGAGTTAGACAGCTGCTACGGGCTGCTTCCCAGAAGAAGGGGGTGTAACAAAAAGGAGGCCTGGTCGAGGACCGGGCCGCGGGGACGCCAAGCCCTGAATCATCTCTAGATAAAAGCCATATGTATCCCTTGTTGACTTCAGTAATTTCACTATTTATAATATTATATGTATATTTATATTATTATTTATATTATATGTATATGACCTGGTTAAGGAAATTCTACCTGACACCCTGAGTGATGTAGCGGGGATACAGGACCCCCACTACACGGAATGCGACACGAAATGGGGTGCCATGGCAGACCCAGCACTCAGACCAGCCATGCCGAAAGCCAAGAAACAATCCAGTTGGGACAGCCCCATTGTAGACAAAGAAGCCACAGCTTTGCTGGAGGCAGCAACAACCCCAGTGATCGTGCACGCCTCACAGCTGTGCAGGCTCCCCATGCAGGGGACTTCCTTTTGGCAGTCCCTATGTCTGCGACAGGCACACGTCTTGATCCGCAGGAGCTCCGTATTGCAGTCGCTCTCCGTCTTGCTGCCCCTATCCACACTGTTCATAGGTGTATTTGCGGCGAGGCAGATGCTGACGAATATGGACTGCATGGCCTGCACTGTGGAAAATCTGGTGGTTGGCACACTAGACACGACGAAGTCAATGACATCATTAAAAGAAGCCTTGCCTCTGCTCAGTGCCCAGCGGAGAGAAAGCCCCGCAACCTACTGTACCGTGACTCTGTTAGCTTTGCCGGCCGACCAGACGGAATCACACTGCGACCATGGAAGGCTAGCAGACAGTTGGCATGGGACTATACTTGTATATCCACCCTGGCAACCACATACATCAACCTCTCTGCCGGCACAGCAGGAGCCGCGGCGACTCGCAGAGAAAGAGACAAGTCAGCCAAGTACAGGCAATTAGATCATCGGTACAACTTCGTTCCAATAGGGTCTGAGACCCTAGGCCCATGGGGAGAGAGTGCAAGAAGGTTTCTTAAGGATCTTGGTTCCAAGCTCATTGACACCACAAGAGACCCTAGAGCAGCAAGTTTTCTCTTTCAGCGCCTCAGTGTCGCGATCCAGAGGGGGAATGCCCAATGCATCTTCGGTTCATGCCCGGCGTCGGAGGAGTTCGAGGAAATCTACAGCCTCTAGGAAGCTAATTTTTTTTGTGTCCTCTTAATGTTATTTTTTGTATAAAATAAGATATGTAAGTGTATAACCTTGCATAATAAAGTGAACACCATAAAAAAAGGGGGGTGGTAGGAGAAGCGAACACTCTTACGTATTCAGAGTTAAATGGCAAGTTTTTCCCTGAATGCTCTGTGTTCCCTTCTCTGAGGCAGTGGGTCCCTATAATTGCACCAGTGTTGGTACCCCCCCTTATATGTATATTATATGTATATTTATATGTTCACACTTTGTGTAGGTATTTGTCATATTGTAGAGGGTGGTGGTCCAAGTGGGATGTACAGTTGACCGTTGTTGTACCAAGTCGCGGGATGGACGTGACTAGTTGCAAGTTGCTTGATTTATAACATTGGCTTATTATCTGCCTGTATCATCTTTAGGACTTTTCAGCTAGCAATGGTATTTACTTTTTCTATTTTTAATTCCTAGATTCACATTCCTGTATTACAGTGTATATTCACAGTATATTGGCACTGTCTCACACACACCAGCAACCTGTCCTCTTAAAAAAGAACGTCGCTTTTGGGCGTTTGCCCGTATGGCTGAATATGGACGTAATTTGAAAATGAAAGAAAAAATGAAAATAAATTTGGGATTTTTTTTTTCAACAACAGTAAGTTAAGGGTCCTCTGATTGGTTAGGTGGGCAGGAAATTCTCATAAAGTTTCAAAACGGTATGAAAAGCGTTAATGGAAAGTTTCCTCATCTAAGCTTGCCGAGTAAGCCGGACGACTCAAACAGAAAACGGAACAGTACATCACTTTTGCGAGTCGATTTCATTTCAAATTACGTCCAAATTTGGCCCTAGCGCGCATACGAGCCAAAAGTGACGTTATTTTTAAGAGGACGGGTAAGCCTCGTTGCTTGTGAAAACACAGCCTAGCCTGTTGCTGCCTCCTGCCACTATTAAACATTTCTAATTTTCGGCGTGTAATTTTTCTATACCTTCACAATTAGTGTTGTGTTACACGTTCCTCTATACTGTTCAACTTGCTATAATTCATATATATCGACTATATGCATGTACACATGTGCCTCCTGGCACTGGTTCCCATGTTTATTCTTTATTTAACTCAAAAGTTTCATTGTTAGTGACTGATAAGACGCGACTTGTATCAATGAATAAAAAGACCTGGGGGTTGATATAATCCCAACACTAACAACAGAATCTTAGATGAATACATACACATGTAGGAAGTTAGCAAACATAATTTAACAATCTAAATAATTAGGTTTTAAAGTCAGTTCACACTATGTAAATGTATAGCCACGTCTGTGGTAGGAAAAAAAAAAAACCTGCTTATGAGAACTTTACTTGATTATGTAACCAGCATGGAACCCAAACCCTGCGAAGAACAAAAGAATTTTTGACAAAATTCAGTGGTTTGCAATTAGATTAGTAATTACCTAAGTGTAATTACCCAAGTGTAGTTACAGGATGAGAGCTACGCTCGTGGTGTCCCGTCTTCTCAACACTGTCATATAATGCTTTGAAACTACTGACAGTCTTGGCCTCCACCACCTTCTCACCTAACTTGTTCCAACCGTCTACCACTGTTTGCGAAATTGAATTTTCTTATATTTCTTCGGCATCTGTGTTTAGCTAGTTTAAATCTATGACCTCTTGTTCTTAAAGTTCCAGGTCTCAGGAAATCTTCCCTATAGATTTTATCAATTCCTGTTACTATTTTGTATGTAGTGATCATATCCTCTTTTTCTTGTCTTCTAGTTTTGGCATATTTAATGCCTCTAACCTCTCCTCGTAGCTCTTGCCCTTCAGTTCTGGGAGCCACTTAGTAGCATGTCTTTGCACATTATTACTGAGAGATATAATTAGCAGGACAGCATAAACTGGCGGTCCGTCTAATTACCACAAGCTACACAAGCTTCACAAAGCTTCCTGGCAATATGTTAGTAATGAATAAATATGATATATTTACTCATTATAATGTTGGTGCTGAATGTACAACACGAGAAAACAATTTTAATCTGAAAAAGTATATTTTTATTAAGAAATTAGACGAAAATAGAGCTGGTGACACCAAATAAAGTCGACGATCCAAGCGTCGGTTAGGTTAGGTTAGGTTAGGTTAGGTTAGGTTTGGTTAAGTTTGGTTAACTTAGGTTAGGTTAGGTAAGTTTAGGTTAGGTCAGCCTAACCTAACATCATATTTATTCATTACTAACGTATTGCCAGGAAGCTTTCTGAAGCTTTTGTAGCTTGTGGTAATTAGACGGACCCTAAACTGGTAGATTGTGAAGCATAAAGAGCTACATCTCACTTTCTCAAAGTCACTGATGGGTAAGCATCAGTACTCTGGTGAATTTAATTTCTGCAGTTAAATTTCCCACATAACTTTTGCACTTCTCAAAAAAAAAAAAAGTAAAAAAAAAAAGTCAAGCTGCTGCTGATGTAACAATAGTGATATTAGTGTATTTTGTTTTATAATATTTGAAGTTAAGATATACAATGGATCACTATACGTACAACTTTTTCTAGTTAGTAACTTCATATATTTTAGTAAACTACATTAATTATTATCTTTACTTGAACCACTTTTATATTTCGTCTTCAACCCCTAACAAATACAAGATATTAAATCTTACAGTGTATCGAGACCTGTTCATTAGGCCTAATTTTTGTACAATTTCTGTACATTAAAAATATAGAACTACCAATTCTCAAAAATAATGTTCAAGAGTTTATAACTGATTGACTTCATTGTTTTATAAAAGCCACAATAATAAAGAGAAGGTTCATATATACAAATATATAAATGAAATTATGCTTTAATAAGAGAGAATATAAAGGCAATGACTGATTCCTAATCACTTTTGGCATAAAGGATATTATAATTCTCCATAGTTCACAAGCACCCTCCACCACACTACCACCCATTGTCAGTACTCAACTATAGCTGCATCATTCTATTCAGCACTTTATTAATTTCTTTTTTCTATTACTAATAAACAAGTTGCTGACAATTAGTGCAAGCAAGAGTAACATAGCAGCTGCCTATATACAGGCCAAAGAAAAAAGTAAAAAAAAATAGCCATCAAACAGAGCTCACAATGGCAAATTCTTGTCAATGGTTTGCATCACCTGTGGGTGCACGAGTGAATGCTTAGGTACATGAGGAAAGGGACCTCAGAAGCCGTCAGTAGAGGTCCCAGTCTCATTACCCCTCATTCTAATTCTTAAAAGTACACACACTTTACATTATCATTCCTGCAATGCTTAAAAATTAAATACAATAGCTTACAATGAGCTCTTGATTGTATGTGCATCTAATAATGCAGTTTTATATTATAATGTTAATGGCAAAGGTACAGTACAAATACACAAGTATATAAATTTGTTGAGTTTTATAGCACTTTTTAACTAGATATTTTGTGAGCATGACATGGATAGTAGTTTTCAAGCAAAATGACTCAACACAGCTGTTATGCAATACTCATCATAACTACCGTGAGCCTGTCTGTAAGACAAGGGTCTCTTTGTTTTCAGCTGCCTTAATGCTTTTTGATGAACTTTAAAACTATTAAATTTTCAAAAACTTTAATTGCAAATTTCATAACTAAAACATTTCAATAAACAGCATACATTGAAACCATGAAAACCCTTATCATACAAACCAGATCATAGGAAAGCTGCCCTATTATAAATAGTTTATTATTTGAATTTATTATAGTTCTCTGTGCACATATAATGGTAACAGTTTAAAGCCTTTTATATAGAAACAGAAATGACTAAGGCCTAAGGTATTCAAAGTATTATCTACTGAGAGAAAAGAGTGCGAGTGAACTCTATGTAATCCAAAGCTCCAGGAACTGAATTGCCCGTTTTGGGGTCTTCGTATGGTTTCATGCGACCCACACAGTAGTCTGCCATCTCCTTGGTAAGGTTCTGTTGGGAAAACAAGCCGAATGACACTTCTGAGTTGTACAAGAACACCCTCACTAAATAATGAACATTCTGAAATAATATACTTAACAATGCCCATTAGCACAATAATAATAGACATGAAACTTACTTGATATAGCTCGTCCCGTAAGACATACGGACGGTCTCCAGCAGCAATAGCACGGAAAGCATTTTGGATTTCCTCCGAGCTGTGCACATTCTCTGTCTCTTTAGAAATCATGAATGCCATGTATTCCTGGAGGGAAACTGCCCCATCACGATTAGGATCAACAACATCCAAAATGGCTTCAAATTCTGGGTCATTCTGTCCTTCCTCAATCATAGGAAGATCATAACCCAAAGCCCTTAGGCAGGACTTGAACTCTGCATGGTTCAGGCGGCCACACTTCTCTTTGTCAAAGTGCTAGAAGAAAAATTTAAATAAAGTTTTCTGAAACAGTTACACATCAAATATTTCACAAGGAAAAGGTTATATTGTAAAGTCAACATAGTATTCTACAGTACTAGGAAAACGAGAGGTACAAATAAACTAAACCTTTACTCTAGCATTTTGGGAAGTATTTTCTGTCTTAACCTTACTTGAACTTGTATTGGCAAATATTTTAATGTTTGCATATATTGAAAACGGTCAAATTAATGTGTCCTCTCCTAACCTATCAGAGGACTCGGAACAGAAAACAGGACAATACGTCACTTTGCGAGCCACTTCCATTTTCAAGTACTGTACGACAATTTTTGGCCTTATGAAATGCATACGATATAAATGCGACGTTCTTTGTAAGAGGACAGGTTAGCGAATTAAAGGATACTGATTTTGAAGCTAAACTGGCAGAAATTTATATGCAATGGTTTATAGCCTTATTATACTAGTACCAGTATATTCATTTTTCTATTCTTTAAGATTAATTAAAAATAAAAAAGATGGTAGATATAAAGTAATACTAACCTTGAACATCATGCTGAACTCCTTGAGGGCATCCTCTGACACCCCAGATTGATTACGGGCCTGGATCTGCTGCTCCAAGTTATGCTGCATGCGCATTCCTAACTGGTCCAGCTGGTCCCATTGTTGTGCCAACCCAACAGTGCTGTAAATGTAAAACCATTACACATTACCTACCACAACTATTGTGCCAGTTCTTCATGTTGTATTACTAACAATTTGAGTAACTCATTTTTAACCTAAAGATGCAAATAACTACCTAAAGGTAGTAAGACAGAAGTATACAAATAAAACTATTCCCCATTCTATGCAACAATAAAAAGTTGTTACTGAACCCAACCCCAACTTCTTACCTGTATGTACTCACCTATTTGTGCTTGCGGGATTGAGCTTTGTCTCTTTGGTCCCGCCTCTCAACTGTTAATCAACTGGTGTACAGATTCACTGTGTGCGCGCTATAGTCAATGTGTCAATCAACTGGTGTACAGATTCACTATGTATGTGCTATAGGGGCTATGCTAGTCCCCAGCCCAGTTCAGAACCAAACATTTTGGTGACTACCTGAATAACTCTTATATACTGTGTCTAAATTAATGCATGCTAACATTCTTTCGGTTATCAGTTAGTTGCGAATATCCTAAAATTTTCTTTTGGAGGGGGAGTGGTAGTTTTTGTCAGTATTTTAGGCAAGAAGAGATCATTTGACAGGCAAGCTGCCTCTAACTTTTCTTTCTATTTTATGTAGAATATGCAACAATACATCGAAACTAGATGATTCATTCTCTAAATTGCATTTAATACACTAACTCAGCTTTTCTATGGTTTCCTTGGATTAATTTCACTTTATATTTTGAAGGTGAAGGATTACTTGCATAGCTTCAACAGCTTCATTTTAAGTGCTTTTGCACTGTTGTAGTATGATGGAGGCAAACTGACTCCTGCCACAACACTCAAGTACACAAGAGGTGTGGAGTCCAACCCCATCCTCCCTCCACAACAATGACTCTCCCACACACAGACAAAAATGCCTCGCTTATTTAAACTTATGCATCAGGCGAACGCAATATGTAAGTTACATGAATAATTTAGGAAATTAATATTTTTACTTAATGTTAATTTATCATCCACGAATCTTGAGATCAGGTACACAAACATTATTATTTTAGGAACAATAGTGACTTTTTTATAAGAAGGTGAAATAATTAATGTTAGCATATTTTAGTAAATTATACATATATATATTCCCACAGAGACTAAGTAATTATCAAAGAAGGCACCAAGCCGGGAAGGCTATGTAGTACCATCAAATGTGCAGAATAATCAGAGGGGGGCACTAAATATCACTGAGGATGCCAATAAGAGAACAGAAACGCATAAGGCAAACGATATCAAAAGTATCCATTTCACCAAGAATGCTATCGAGGGAAAAGTGACCGCGGGGGACGGTTGGAAAGCAAGACACACGCTCGTCCTGGAAGTCAGGACATTCAACAAAGATATGCACAACTGTATGAGGAACAATGCAGTTAGGACAATAAGGAGCAGGGCGGTGCTCCATTAAGTGTCCGAGTTAAGCGCGTATGGCCAATACGCAGCCTTGCCAGAGCTGTTTCCCATCACCGGTTACGTTGGTATCTTCGTTATCTTGAGATGATTTCAGGGTTTAGTGTCCCCGCAGCCCGGTCCTCGACCAGGCCTCCATCCCCAGGAAGCAGCCCATAGCAGCTGTCCAACTCCCAGGTACCTATTTACTGCTGGGTAACAGGGGCATCAAGGTGAAAGAAACATTTTTGCCCATTTGTCTCCGCTTCCACCGGGGATCGAACCCAGAACCTCAGGACTACGAATCCGAAGCGCTGTCCACCCAGCTGTCAGGCGCTGGTAGGAGGAAGGCCACAGGGACACACTACCCTTAAGTTTGCAGTTTGTTACCAGTAACAGAAAACCAACAACTCTGCCAATGGGCAAGGATAGAGGAATGAATAGCTGGGTAAAATTTGGAATAAGGAAAACCTTTACGAGAGATGGGACAAGTGCAGATAGCTTCCTTAGCGGCAGCGTCTGCACGCTCGTTTAAAGAGATACCAATATGGCTGGGAACTCGGCAAAACTCAACTGTCTTAAATCTACTGGAGATAAACATGTTGAATCTCAACGACCACCGGATGGACTGGTTTAAAGGACTCCAGAGCGCTGCGAGAGTCAACTACAACCACAAATGTGGATTGACAGCGAAAAAGCAGGAGACGAAGAGCATAAAGTTCTGCCGTGAAGATACTAGTCTTTGAAGGCAGGCGACACATATAGGTGTAGTCAGGAAAAACAACAGAGTAGCCTACACTGTCTGCAGACTTAGACCCATCGGTGTAGTTGGAAACTGAGTGAGAATGTGAAGAAAAGTGTTTAGGGAAAAGGCGTTTCAGAACTGTAGGAGGGGTAAAAGCTTTGGTGATGTAGGTCAGGGATTTGCAATATTGAGGAAGGGGGACAATCCACTTCTTTGCTCATGAGACCATCCAAATCCACATTCTGGTTATCTGGGTAATGGGGACCAAAAAAACATTAGTAGCCGAGTGTTAGCAGATCAATGCAGAGTGTAACTTCTTGCCGCAAAGACATTCAGTTTTGCTATTTGGCTTTGATACAATATTCTGCATTTCATTCAGATATACTGGAAATATATTCTGAACACAGTATTGTAATAGTAATTCAGATCAACAGCAATGGAATGTACTGTATACAGTGGGGCCCCCCCACTAATAAGCCTCACTTTCGAATTCCTTGGAAGCCTGTATGGCTTGTTTAGTGCAAATTATTTGGTATATAAATGTTTGCTTCAGTAACACTTATCTAAGTCGTCACCGAGACTGGCCAAAAGAATGGGGCCATATTAGCAGCCAACAATCTACAGTGTACACAAGAGAGTAATCAATAATGTGATGCATCAAGGAGAAAATCCATAGGAGCCGTGATGAGGGTCCGAACCTATACGCTGGGTGTTCCCAGGCACACCTAGCTCTAGACTACTAGGCCACGACATGATCCATGTCATGACCTAGTTGTCTAGTGTGTGTGCCTAGACACCTTAACCTTCATGGTGGTAAAAGTTGTAAATGAAGTGGAAATATAGGGCAGTAAATGTAAGTAGATATTGGTTGCAGCCAAGTGTTACACCACACTTGTGGTGCATAGCACAGAAGGCAGTGGACAACCATCCTCCCTCCCTCATTGCTAACTTCCTCCACCCCTCACTGCCACTTCAGAAGATTAAAAAAATCATTTTACTTTGGGTTCCAATAGTGATCATATATAAATAGTGAACTAGAGGTACTCGGCATTGCCTGGGTCTGTTTCCCATCTGTCCATCCATCCATCTATCCATTTATTTCTCAATTTATCCATACATCTATTCATCCATCTATCTGTGCATCTCCATCCATCAATCCAACATATCTATTCATCTATCTTTTTATCCACACATTTTGCAATAATTACCTCTCAATATTAACACCTCATTATATTTTTTCTTAAAATTGTGGACAGAATTGGCTTTTTCAACCTCTTTCTTCACTGCACTCCATTAGCCAATCACACACATGGGGAACAAAAACTTCCTTAATCTCTGACTCAACTGCATGTCCAGCTTCCATTGATGTCCCCTTGTTCTACCTCTTAATTTAAATAGGCTTCCATTGTACACTTTGCCTATTCCCCTCAAAATGTTGCTTGTAGTTATAATATCCCTCTGTCTCTTCTCTCAACTTGTCCTAAAAGCCGAGGCATCTAAATTCTAGTACTATCTAGTTGCAAAACTGAGTTTTATTAAGTTTCTGTTTATGATTCAAAAGGGGTCAGTTCCATACTCTGAAGTGAATACAGCCCATTTTAAGTAGTCATGATAACTCGTGCAGTAATATGTTGCTCATGAGGTGCCACATCTGTGTTGCATCATGCCCTTCACTCCCTTCCATTTCTATCCATTCTTCTTTTTATCCTCTCATTGACACGTGTTCCAGCTCAGGTACACTTCACTATGTACTTGTCTATGCTAAGATAGATGAAACCACATTGGTGGTTGTGTGCACATGCAACATTTGACTCCTTACAAACACAACAAACAAAACAGGAACACACCAAAATTAATTTTACCTAGAGACAAGGTCACTGACAATTATATACTGGCTTTCCTAGAAGCTAACATAAAATAGAGCCAATATGAAGATAATTTAAAACAGCTTAGCGTAACAATGTGAAATTCCAACCTTGAAGAAATAACAAACGCAGGTAACACACCTGTGTTCAGTGTATCGATTGTCCAAGATGAGATGCTCCTCAAGAATTTGTCCCAGGTCTTCAATCTTTTTCAGGTCCACACGGCGAGCTCGAACTTCAGCAGCCTTCTGCCGCGTAGCTTCCAGTTGCTGCTCCAATGTTCCAGATCCCTCCATCATGGATGACCTATAACAATGTTTCACAAAAATATTAAACACAAATTCTTATCAATTTGAAATTAAATTTAAAAATCTCAATTTATCTCAGAACACTAACAAATTAACAAATTAATGATGGAAAGTCTAAATTTTCTTTTCACCAACACACAAGAACCATATGAAATGAAGATAAAACCATTTTAAATATATGACCTGGAAGAAATCTTCAGGATATAATTAGGCCATTTTTAAAAAACAAAGCAATAGCATATTGCAAAAAAAACATCAGGCTTGCCCTCCCCCACCCCCCTCAAAAAAAAAAAAAAATACAATTACAAACAAGTGTATTAATATAATATTATATGCCCTTAAATTTACTTGAATTCTTACTGCTAATTCGTATATATTGTGGTTAGTAAATGCAAACTTGCAATGATGATGACGATGATGATGATGATGATGATGAGCACACATCAGTTAATATGGTAGCTAGGATGAGTGTCAACATCATCATAATCTACAATGTTAACACTTATTACAAAGCAAAAGCAAATCAAGCTGTAGCCAATGTATTACTTCTATAAAGCAAGAATATTTCTTCATAGTCTAAACTGTGTAAAAACTAAATAGACAAGTATAAATATTATATTAATATTTACACAAAATACTAAATTTTCCATATTATACTTATTAGCTTTATATGTTCTTTTTCATATCATTATTGTTAATGAACTTGAAACAAAAAAAATTCATATTTATAAGTTTAGCAAGATGTCGGAGCACAGCGTGTGAAGTGTGAAAAGCAGCGTGCACATACAGAGAAACAAGAGGTGCCGTGGAAACATTCATGGAAGAATGGTGCTGTGACATCCATGCTATACACACTTGTTATTTGTGATTTGAAGAGCTATGTATACAGCTCTATTTGATTTCTATCAGATAAATGTGTTAAATAATCCTACTGACTGAAACATATCTGACTGGAGGTAAGAAGAGCATTTGACCCCCAACAGTCATCCTAACTCACAGGGGACCTATTTACTGCCAAAAGTACAGAGGCATCACCTGCACAAAATGTGCCAAAATTTCTCTACCTGCAAGATATTGTTTTTTTATGAACAAAGTACAAAATAGCAAATGGAACACACACAAACCAAATTCTATTTCTAAATCGTGAGCTTGCACCTGTGGTATTCCACGTACGTTTTCGTTTAGTTTCATACTTTTGGCAGACCACACTGTAAAGGAATATAGTCACATAATTACCCTTATCAAGTTGGGTAGTAACTTATTCTGCAATCATTGCCAATTATATTTTCAGTGTGTAAATTTAGGTTGTTTCATTGTTATACAAGTAAATTGTAGTGTCTCGTGTAACACGATTACGTATGATCGCTCAGAGCATTGTACCTCCACAGCCGATGACACTGCTAGTTTACTTGCCGGCTGGCAGTCAATGCAATCACACCAGGGTGCACCAAGCTTCTAGACGAGGTATTCTCAGGAGTAGCACAAACTCTGACCCTCAGTCTGCTCAGGCATTCTGTTAGGGTCACATTTAGCACTTTATGACTTCCTAAAGCAACTAATTCATTACGAGTTATAGTGCCTTGTAGTCCTTTGCTCTTATTGCATCCGTGTCTGGACCATTGAGTTGAAATCAGTGTTGATCATTTTTGTTTATTTGATATTATTTCAAGTGTACACAGCCAGTTGCATTGCAGGTGTATAAAGTAACTTTTATTTGTTTTATTAAATTAACTTGTAATTTTAATAATTTTTTTTACTTTACCCCCTGTTCCTCAGTCACATTTGCAAAGGCCATGCTTTTTTTTTTATGCTGAGTGAGCATATCATCAGCTGGGTATAGCCACAGTAACTCACTTCACATATTATATTCCATATCTGCTACAACAATTTGACTGCTCATTTAGCTATCATCAAGTTCTATGTAAAAGTAGTTTGAAACAGGATATAAAATTTGCCATGAAAAAAAGTGCTGTAATAAAAAAAAATAATAAAGGGAAAAACAAACAAGAACTAAATATTTTTAAATTAATATAAAGTCAGAATGACTCGAGTAAAACATAATTTACAATGGCATTAAAGATTTTCAGAAGCTTATTGAAATGACCTTAACTATATTTTAGAGCAAATAGTGAAATGAACTTGTTTGCAGCAGGTGCAGAGGTTAACTGTTACTAAAAGAACTCCACCTACAGTACATCTTAATGGTTAAGTGAAGGTGTACATTTACTATCTTACTTTTCGGCACTACTATTAAGGAGACAATCCTTATTCTTTGAGTATCAAAATTTCTGGTAATACAATATTAAGATTTATAATCATAAAAGTACTGTAAGTGGAAAAAACAATGCCTAATACAGCTGCTAATTGCATTACTGTTATTACATAAAGAGTACAGTCCAAAACAATTTGGACAGTAACAATTTTCTTTTTTCAGTTTATACTAAAAAACCATATTTGATTTTAAATGAAACAATGCATGACATTAAAGTGTTGATTTTCAACTTAAATTTTAGGGTATTTACATCCATATCGTGAGAACCATGTAGGAACTACAACCCTTTTTATACATAGCCCCCCCCCCCTTTCAGGATACCTGAAGTAAATAGATACATACGTACCACCATAATATATAAATTCACCATATTTAGTACTTGCCTGCAAATCCTTTACATGCATTAACTGCAAGAAATTTGCAACCTTTGATTATACAGTATTTTTGCTGGTTTGTCAGGACTATACTGCAGCCATCTTCAGTTCCTAATTGTTTTGCCTTCAGTTTTGCTTTAAAGTGAAATACACACTCAATTAGATTCAGACTGAGTGATTGATTTGACCAGTGAAATATTTCTCTTTTGGCCCTGAAAATCTCTTTGGCGCTTTAGTACTGTAATATATTTGAAGTGGCCATCCTGCTGCAAGATGATGTGCCTTTTAATGAGTTTTGAGGCATTTGGTTGAATCCTGTCATCAATAATGACATGTGAGCAAGTTCCAGTACTGTAAAATCTATCATAACAACCTCCAAAATCTTTCATGGATGAAACAGCAAGCTTTGTTCTAGAATTTTACAGCACTGTAACCAGACCATTCTGTTCTTGAAGGTTACCAGTGCTTTCCATGTTGTAATTATTTATGAAATATTTGAGAAGTATTTTTTGCCCATCCTCTACAGTGAAATTTTGTGGTCTACAAGGTCACATACTATTACCAAGCTCACAATTGCTTTCTTGCTTGCCACTGTAGCATTCCAATGACGTGTTTTAGCACCATAAGCAATTCGCCATTAACATCCTGGTAACACTAAAATGCATTATCCATTCTCAGAATTTCCAAGTCACTTACTTCCTTAACCATCATATTTGCACTTTCATGATATTATTTCTTAAAATACATGACAACCATCCTATCACTCAAAACGATAACTGCTTTTCTCATGAGCATTCTATCAGCTTTGCTAATTACACGATGGAAAAGTATAAAGGTGATGTTAATTTTCATTTTACAGTTATATTACACAATCATGTGCTAATTTCCTTCAAATTAAGAATAAACAAGGAATGTTGAAATGTCTATTATAGTCGCATTTTTTTCCTCTATTTGGGAACATTTTGACACCTAATTCATAGTAATAACCAAAAATGTATCCAAGAAAATGTGAAAAAGATTATAAACATTTAACATGGCACTGAGCTCAGGAGCAGCCACATTTACCAAATGCAAAGGAGATATTAATGTACCAGTACCAAATCAATGTTTCTGATCTAATAAAATTTGTCAGCCTCATGATGGCCTGTTTTGCTGGACCTGACACTTCCTTGATCCTCACATTGAGAGAGAACAGAAAGAAATTCTAAATACAAGTGTCACACTTGACTCCAGACCATTTGTTACTTCTGTGCATGCACAGTACTAATGACGCAACACAATGGCCAAGAAACTGTCAAGCAGCCAGGTGTCTAATAACTTTTGGGTTCTCTACAAAGAACCTCTTTTGGGCGCTATGTATAAATACGGCTGCAATTCCTAGACATTTAATACGGTATGGATATAAAAACTGTACCACTTATTACAGCAAAATGTTTGTACTGTAACCTAAAAAGCATCGTTTCATTTCAGACCCAGTGGGCTGAACTAGGGAACCAAGACGACAAACAGTGTTACTATCCAAATGCTTATGAACTGTTAAGTTTGTAGTGAGCAATGTTACACATTTTAAGTTATCACAGCATATTGCTTACAATTTTTACCCCAAATAATAATGATTGATAAAGTATAACTATTATATATAAAATACAAAGGAATAGAGAGGAATAAAGAAACAAGAGGGAGAAGTAAAAACTTAGAAAGGGAAAGAAATTAAACAAAGAAAGGGAAAGAAATTAAACAAAGAAAGAATGAGAAAAAAAAGTACAAATGGAAATTGAGGACAGGTAATGAGACCAAGAAAGGGAAGAGGAAGAAAATGGAGAAAAAAGGGAAGGAAGGAAAGAAAGAGAAGGGGGAAGGAAGTGAAAGAAAGGAAGCAAAGCGGGAAAAGAAATACAAAGGCAAATATTCAAAAGCAGCAGTTTGTGAACTAGATATTTCTTCAGAAGAATGAGATGTAGTGAAAAGTTCCACCTAAAATTTTACTTTGTTTCATTTCATGAATGACTAATAGTGATACACTATTCCATCAATGAAAGCTTTTAAGAATTTAATAATACATTTGGGGCAAAGACTGAAGGAATACAGTAACAGTTTATAACAAGCCATAACCAAGCTCATGCAAGAGAGCAGAATATTGACCTCTCATCATAGCCGATAAGGGAGAAACCCAGCAGGTGGAACCTGTGCAAAAGGAAGAGAAATCAGAAAAAAAATACATACACCAAGTTGATCCATCACACACTGCCGTAGTCAGCATGGTCACCATGGTCACACAAAATATATCTCAAAATCTAAAACATTCAATCTCATTTTCCAAACAATTTTCTCTCCTGTACATGTCCATAAGAAAAACTGGATTAACTGGAAAAAACACAACTGAAACCACCCAAAGTGCAAAGATTAAAATGCTAATCTATTGATCTGGCAAAAAAAAACTTATCGTTTCAATAGCTATGATAATAGAAATATACAACATGGTCTAGGTACTTTCAGTTGCTAGTTTCCTCCACTTGGACCACTGAAATACATGTTGTTAATACCCAAGTACCTCAGGCCACTCTTGAGTGCCTTTGTTTTGCCTTTGCATCAACACAAGGACCAACTTGTTAAGTACAGAAGCAATGTGAAATTTTATTTCATAGCTAGTCTTTCTGGAAGTAATTCTGAACTCAATGTAAGAAAATTTAATCTGAAATTCATACATGCAAAAATCTAAATGTGTGCTTATGTAATATGCATTCATACTATGTATTATTAATTTGCACATTTCAACTGCAATACTTTCATACTTCATTAACTTACATGTATTTCATCCAGATTAGGTATGATTGAATTGAGGCAATTCAGATCACTGAAATAATTACTGTATGCAAAGATAACCCTAGGTACATTAGGTACATTATTTTATTTAAAATTTTCCTTTTGAAGGTTCAGGAATGAAGAAGCTGCAATTACAATGAGTTGAATAAATTGAGAACCCAGGTCAGTACATGCTCAGTCTGAAAACTGGAGCTGTGTCATACACACCATTGGCCTGTAAGTGTAAAATTACCCATGGATAACAAAAGTCATCATTATGACAAACACCTTGTCTTGGGTGTTACAAAAAGTAAGCGTCTGGGGGTGTTACAAAAAGTAAGCGTCTGGGGGTGTTACAAAAAGTAAGCGTCTGGGGGTGTTACAAAAAGTAAGCGTCTGGGGGTGTTACAAAAAGTAAGCGTCTGGGGGTGTTACAAAAAGTAAGCGTCTGGGGGTGTTACAAAAAGTAAGCGTCTGGGGGTGTTACAAAAAGTAAGCGTCTGGGGGTGTTACAAAAAGTAAGCGTCTGGGGGTGTTACAAAAAGTAAGCATCTGGGGGTGTTACAAAAAGTAAGCGTCTGGGGGTGTTACAAAAAGTAAGCGTCTGGGGGTGTTTACAAAAAGTAAGCGTCTGGGGGTGTTACAAAAAGTAAGCGTCTGGGGGTGTTACAAAAAGTAAGCGTCTGGGGCGTTACAAAAAGTAAGCGTCTGGGGCGTTACAAAAAGTAAGCGTCTGGGGCGTTACAAAAAGTAAGCGTCTGGGAGTGTTACAAAAAGTAAGCGTCTGGGAGTGTTACAAAAAGTAAGCGTCTGGGGTGTTACAAAAAGTAAGCGTCTGGGGTGTTACAAAAAGTAAGCGTCTGGGGTGTTACAAAAAGTAAGCGTCTGGGGTGTTACAAAAAGTAAGCGTCTGGGGGTGTTACAAAAAGTAAGCGTCTGGGGCGTTACAAAAAGTAAACGTCTGGGGCGTTACAAAAAGTAAACGTCTGGGAATGTTACAAAAAGTAAACGTCTGGGAATGTTACAAAAAGTAAACGTCTGGGAATGTTACAAAAAGTAAACGTCTGGGAATGTTACAAAAAGTAAACGTCTGGGAATGTTACAAAAAGTAAACGTCTGGGAATGTTACAAAAAGTAAACGTCTGGGAATGTTACAAAAAGTAAACGTCTGGGAATGTTACAAAAAGTAAACGTCTGGGAATGTTACAAAAAGTAAATGTCTGGGAATGTTACAAAAAGTAAATGTCTGGGAATGTTACAAAAAGTAAACGTCTGGGGTTTCTACAAAAAGTAGCATCTGGGGTGTTACAAAGTGTGTAAGTGACAAGGTGTCCGGGGGCGTTACTCGACACTTCCTACAGTATTTAATTATGTGAGGATATAAACATGAAGCTAATTTCATGGAATGAAAAGGAATGAACAAGCCCAAGAATAATTTATTACACCTTTGTATCAAACCTAATAAAAAAGCAAAGAATGAACAGAACCCAAAGAACATTATTCACTCCTGGCAGCATGAGAATGGGAATAAAAAAAATATATAAAATTTGTTCAGTGGTTGAAACCTGTGTTAATAGTAATGAAATTTCAAGGCCTAGCTCCAACTTTATTACATACAAAATAAACCTCTTCAGCTAGCCAAACTTCTTGCCTCACCTGGTATCCGTCAGTAGTTGATGGAAAGCATTGGCATGCTTGGCAAACTCCTTCCTCAATTTATCGTTCTCCTCCTGGCGCTGTGCTTCCTTAGCCAGTTCCATGTCACGCTCCTAGAGTATACAATCTATATTATGAGTAACACATTTTAAATTATATACCTTATAATCTATCATACTGTTTTAAGTCTACTAATGTATTTTTTACTACTATATCATGAGATTAATCAAAATTACAGCAAAGAATAATGAGCCACTCAAACAATTTAATTATATTGATGAGACAATGCTCCCCCTAGAGAATTCTTTTTGTTTATGGTATGGATGAAATCTCATATGATAAGCAAGTACAATGGCCCATGGTAATGTATTCAAAAATGACTAAGAAAATTTGCTATGTATCCCTATAAAATATTTATTTACATATTGGTTTATACTGCATTCAGAGCCTTATTCAAAATGAAAAGTAGCCAATGATTTTTTCCAACCCAGGTCTGTTCACTTTTTCTGTGCCAAAAACATCTGCAGGATGTCCCCATCCCTTTTGATTTTATCAAGACATTTCCCCAAGTTCCAAATCATCATAAGTGGCCAAAGTGACTAACAGTGGCAAACTACAAATAAAACATATGTGTTGTCATATAATGGTGTCTCCAAACACCTTTAAGAATAATAAAAAGCAATACTGTACTCGCCTTAATAATTTTTTGCAAGTTTCGCCAGGTATCTTCGAGGGCTTCCATGGTGAACCAAGTATATGGGTTTGGCCCCACATTGTAGCTTTTTATCTGTTGATCTAAGGCTGCAAGAGCTTCAAAATCTGCTTGAGCAGAGGACAGAGAAGCCTGGAACTGAGCATGGGCCTCACGCAGTGCTTTTATTTCTTCAATGCTGCAATATAAATTAAACTCTTTTACAATTATGAACATACTGTACTAGCATCTAAGACATCACCATCACCCACCCAGTCTATACCAATTTTGGTTTTCACACCACAAAATATGAAGTTCAGTTGCTATGCTGAATATAACTTGTGACAATTTATAAAATGAGCAGCTTCCAAAATTACATCATTAAAAATAAATAACTAAACAAAAATAGTTACCTATTGCAGCGAACAGGATCTGTTAGATCCTCTTCTGCATTCTCAAACCATGAGTTGAATGCAGATGCCTTCTTGGCAAAGGAGAGATAAAGCTCCTCAATTTGACGGAACTGCTCCTGTAGATATAATATTCAATATATGAGAAGTAGCACTTCTGAAGTTTTATCAGTATTATTCAAAACTCTATACGTTCAATGACATAGGTTTTTGCACTATTATACTAACTTGCATGATTAGCAGTTTGTTTTTACGCCCAAGCGAGTCACTGAGGAGCTTATTCCAACGAGCAATAACATCACTGTGACGTTTAATAATGGACTCTGACTGTTCATGGTTGCCCGAAACCAGTTGATCCTTGAGAGTGGTAATATTCTGGATACCTTCATGTTCAAAAGCAGCTAATCCTGTAAACCATTAAGTTGTACAATTAAAAAGACATTTTAAGGAAACAAAGTTATCTTCTAATTGAAACACTAACTGGCCTAAGTGCTTAAGTTTCAAGGACAGTGAAAAAGCATTAAAATTATCAATACCTAAATAGTATGAAGGCACATCACACAAATATCCATCTTATCCTCGATACTAGTTACAAATTCCGCCCACTGCTTGGCTGCTCACTACTGGCTGACAAAGTAAGTTGCTAGCTGTCTCACTCTACTTCCCTCTCTCCTTACCCTATACACAGACACGGTCTCTCCCCTCAAGCCTCCTCCCTCACATCCCAAACCCTAAATACCCTCCCATCCTCCACCCCATCCCTACCCATGACACCAGATGGCTGCCATACGGACATTTTACAATGCAGCTCACGATACTGGGAATGCTCTGGCAGGTTTGGTTACGGATTTGATGCTCAAAGGGGAAACTGGAGAGGATGTTTGTATGGACAAATGTTTGTAAAACAAGGACGCCCTATATACGAAACTATTAGCCAATGGGTGAGAGGGGAAGTAGAAGAAGAGTTTGAGGAGAGGAGTTGACATTAGTGGGAGGGTGCATGCCAGGGCATAACCCACCTGCTTGATTGACCTACCTCGCACAAATTAGCTGACCAGCCAACCTGCTTGCATTCATATCAGACTACCAACATTCTTAAAGGCGATCCTTTCCAAATTTATCTACCAAATTGCCTGCAGTCTTACCTGCTTGCATGCATGCATTGTTGCCAAGTCTGTTTATGTAACTTGGTTTTCAAGATGTGCCAAAGATGTGTGGACAGAAGTGAAGTACAGGGAAGGGAAGGGAATTGTCAGGGGGGAAAGGCCAAGCCATTACAACAATACAGCACTTCAAAGGCATCAAGATAAGGATTTGGGATGGGACAGGGGGAAGGAATGATGCCCAACCACTTGGACAGTTGGGGATTGAACGCCAAACAGCAAAACAATTGCTACTGGAGGAAATTGTGAAACAAGTTACAAATGATCTCACAGTATTCATAAATATGGACCAATTAATTCCACATCTAATATTTATGCAATGAATTGCTGCAAGCAGACACATTAACATTAGTGGTAATTTTTGGTTTATTTCTATACATCAGAAGAGTTTTTATGGGGGAAGGTTGGAAAGGGGAAGGCAGGGGAGGGGGTGTTTGCTTCAGAAACCAATCATCATTTTCCCATGTGTTGTTGTTCCACAAGCACTGTGAACCTGCTCATATGGCTATCTTGGAACACATCCTGCACATTGGCTAAAGCCAATAATTGCAGTCATTTAAAAATCAACAATGAAAGACAAAGTTAGAAATAAATCGTGCAAAAATAAAAAAAAAAATAAAAAAAAACAGGGTGGTCTGTTAATGCCAAACATCATTCAAACAATTCAAGATTAAGTACAAGACATCGAGTTGAATAAGAGAAGTGGATAAGGATAAGTGTAAGTTTATAACAGATGAGCCTGAGAAGTGTAAGGAAAGATTTATAAAATTACAATGAACTAACTCCTACAGTTAGTTAAATATATTAAAAACAATGAACCAACATACATGAAATACTAATAGAATTTTTTTTTAAATGAACTAAATTGTTAAAGTATCATCAAGACAAATTTATGGAGAGAAGAGAGCATGCTTCCTTACCAGCATCGAAAGTCTCCTGCTTTGTAAGTAAAGTCTGCACAGTGGACAGGTCTCTACCAAACTCTTCAGACTTGACATGAGACTCCTTGTCAGCAATCCATGATTCAACCACATCAGCCTTCCATATGAACTGCAGATATGCTAAGTTGTCTGCCAATTTGCTCTTCCTGCGAGCAGCAATACCATTCAGGGCATCAAGTTTATCCTTCAACTGCTGACATCTCTGCTTTATTGATTCTCCATGGTGATTACCATCAGCCACTAATTTAGCACCAGCTTCACAGACATCACTACAACGATCACGGTGAACAGCAAAGTCTGTTTCAAAGGCATCATGTTTTTTCAAGAGACCTTGGGCAGCAGCCATGTTATCTCCATAGTCAGGAACAGATAGCAGCTGTGTTTTCTCACTGATCCATGCCTCTTCCTCTTCTACCTTAGCTAAGAACTGCTGGTAAGTCAGTGACTGCTCTAGTTTTTGGCCACGTTGCTCAGCCATTGCCTTTAACTGGGACCAAGTCTCTGAGAGTTGCTGGAGGCGAGCTTCAATTTCTGCAACTCCAACATTGGATACTCCCATCAATTTCTCACCAGCCTCTTGCACAGCTTGAATAGCTGGTTCATGGGAAGCCAATTCTGCCTCCAAGCGTTTGTGTTTCTTCCGCAGGTTCTGAACACCAGTCAAATCCCGACCATAGTCCTCTGATGAAACTAAAAGCTTCTTCTCCTTAATCCATGATTCCTCATCAGCAATATCTCTGAAGAATTGGTGAAGTGTAAGTGCCTCATTCAGTCTTGATTGGCGATGAGCAGCCAAGTTCTTGATGCGTTCATACCTTTCATTAATACTCTGACGCTTTTCCTGAATATTAGCAGTATCAAACTGCCCACTTTCCACTAGAGAGTCTGCTTGTCCATTCATGTCATTAATGCGATCATCATGGGCTTGGATATCGGCTTCAACTAGCTGGTGTTTCTTCATAAGATTCTGCACACTTGCCAGATCCTTACCCACATCCTCATTGGTAAGGAGAGATTCCACTTCTCCAAGCCAGAAGTCCAAGTCCTTCACAGCTGCAATGAAAGTACGCTGCTTATTGGCCTCCTTTAGTTTGAGAGATTTCTCTGCTGATTTCTGAGTCAAGAAGTCCCATTGTTCTGAAATAGATTCCAACCTTTGCTGTACTGCCTCTTCAGATCCAGCACACTGGTGTTTATCAATGAGGTTCTGACCCATAGCAAGAACAGCCTGAATACGATCAGCATTTGCAGCAAGCTCTGCTTCAAAGGCCTGATGCTTCTGATGTTTTGACTGAATATTTGCTGGATCCTTAAAACTCTCTTCTGTTGCTACCTGTAACTTTTCAGCAATCCAGTTCTCAATTTCATCAGCATCACGTGAAAATTGCTGAAGAGTTTGAGACTCTCCAAGTTTAGAGCGCTTTTCAATAAGAGCTTCCTTCAAATGCTGCCAACGATCTAGCACCTGGCCCCTCTTGTCGCCAATGTCTTTGCTAGCATAGTGCTCAGCAGCCACTAGTTGATCAGCAAACAAATTAAGTGCAGCAATTTTCTCTTCTTGTGCATTAATGGCCTTGTCAAAATCTTCATGTTTCTTGATCAGAGCTTCTACGTTGTCAGCTTTGGCATCAGCTTCATCAGAGGAGAGGAAGGCCTCTCTGGAGGACATCCAGTTTTCGGCCTGCTCGCAATCACGGTAGAATAGCTGCAGTTCTAGGCACTGGTCTAGCTTCATACGGCGAGCAATCCAAGCCCTGAAACACAATTATAGTAAATATCAAAACATGAGGTAAGAGTAAATGCAAAACATGAAAGCCACGATTAAAGAACAACATTTTGAGATCTTAAGAATTGTTTTGGGATACCCTGCCCATACACTGAACTGTTTTTATACCATGTATATATTACATATGCAGTGATGTGTCCATCGAATGGATTATATTATTAGATTCTAATCATTAAAATGATCCAAGAAGCTTGTTGATTTCTGTCTACATCAAAGTTTTAGCTGAAAAAGGGAGCAAGTCATGGATGCCTCTTCATTGCCAGCCACAGATGATAGAGTAATAAAAAATAAGAAACCAACAGAAAAAATAGACCAGGATAAAAAAACCAGCATTGAATGCAATGAAACACCTCTTCTTGGTGGGTCCTTGGTGGCTCCTTATTGCTAATTACTTGGATAGCTCAGCCCTATTCAATCAAGGTCCTTGCAAGCCATTGTGACCCTACCAGGTACCAGAAGCCAAAACCTACCCTCCTTCCTCCACTCCCTGTTTATAAAAGTGCAAAGAGTACAGGATACTAGATCATTCTAACCAAGAAAGTCACTAAAAAGGTGAATGAGACAATAGACAATCAGCAAGGTTAACAGGACAAAGAAAATAAGACACTAAACCAATGAATCACCCAGTTGTGAAGCAGATCACGTGTTAAATCCACTAACTCCACTAGGTTGAACACACACTCGGCTCCCCGATACCCCTAGCTTTGACAGTAAGTCACTCTACCAGGAAGATGGAAGAACCAAAGCCAATGAATAGGGAACGAAGGGACCAAGCAGTTACCAAACAACCACCAGAAAGAGGCATTCCATTATATTCAATGCTGGTTTCCTGGGAGGGCTCCTATGATGGGTTCATAGTGCTGTCACCAGTGATGGGTTCATAGTGCTGTCACCAGAACACAAAAAGTGAACACTCACCAGGGGTAGAGAAGAGTCGCAGAAAATAACATCACAAAAGGGAAAATAGCAACAAGTTAACTGCCCCAACACTACACAGCCTGGGAGGGTTACCTTGAGGTTACCTTGAGGTGCTTCCGGGGCTTAGCGTCCCCGCGGCCCGGTCGTCGACCAGGCCTCCTGGTTGCTGGACTGATCAACCAGGCTGTTAGACGCGGCTGCTCGCAGCCTGATGGGTTGCCGGAGAGCCTCCGGGACTCGGCCAGAAAATGGCGTTTCATTACATTCAACACTGGTTTTCTGTGGAAAGCCTCTCTGGCTCTCCAAAGCCACCTAACAACAAAAAAGTAACCACTAAAAAAAAAGTGGCCCAAATGAGCCACAGGAATGTTAGAAAGAACTTTTTCAGTGTCAGTAGTTAACAGATGGAATGCATTAGGCAGTGATGTGGTGGAGGTAGACTCCATACACAGTTTCAAATGTAGATATGATAAGAGCCCAGCAGGCTCAGGAATCTGTACACCAGTTGATTGACAGTTGAGAGGTGGAACCAAAGAGCCAGAGCTCAACCCCCACAAGCACAACTAGGCACGTACAACTGGGCAAGTACAGGAGCCAGAGTCAATACCGCCACTCAACACACCAGCCTCAGAACTGGGGTTGGATGGCCGGCATGGGGGTATGGGGATAGCAAGCAAGCAAGCAAGGAGGATCTCTGCTCCTTGCATCTCTATAGAGGAGACCAGATTTTGGCCTCCGGTTACTATTAGGTCTACAATGACTTGCAAGGATTTGGATTGAATTATGGGGAGCTATCCAAGTAGCTACCAGCATGGAGCCACCTGAGGAGCCTCTCCCAGAAAAAGAGAAAAAGAAGGAAGACAGGAGGCTGAGCACAATGACTCATCCTGTCCCTGAATTTGTAGTTACACATTAGATAAACTATAAGACTCCATTAATAATACAGTAATCATATCTACATGTGTATAGCAACCATGAATGCATACTGTAAAGAATGTATCAAGTTGACATGGTTACCTCTCAAGATCTTGTCGAGCTTCATTCATAGCATCTAGCTTCTCTTGCACTTCAGCAGAGGCAAAGTGACCAGACTGAAGAAGTTGGTGTCCAAAGAGTTCAAAAGCTTGGAAGGTTCCAGCACGAGCATCAATCTCTGTACGATGTTCCTGAATAACAAATAACAAATATCAGCACTGTAAACAATTTCAAGCAGTGTTGATATCTTGACTGTAATGTAAATACACACACACTCAACCAATTATCAACTTATTAACCAACAATAACTATTAATTCACAATTAATACCTTGTTCTCACAGGAATATTCTTCCCCAGTAAATGGTTGAACAAAACATAAAAGCCTACCGTCAAACCAATCCAAATATTATAATCTAGTTTATTCCATTTGCCTAATGTTCTTGTAGCTATTGTGGAAACCTAGCTCAAATGAATTCTAAGTTTTCATTTGAATGCTGCTGGATGCTTGCCAATCCTGAAACCTTTCAATTCACTTTCACAGTCTTTAAATCATATCAATAATTTAACATGTTGAAATCATCATAAAGTGACTACTATAGACTTACTACAAAGAATCAAAAAGAATCTATTTAAATGACAAAAAATTTGTGCAAAAACCTCAACCACTAAATCAAGAAACATGCATTCTGTTAATATTCAATAACAATTACAAAAAAAGTTTATGGTGTTTACTAATCCCCTCCCCCTTTTTTTTGTTTTTTTTTTACACATAGCTGAAGACAGTAATCCTTTATGCCTATATATATGTTTAAATATGAAAAATCTAGCTTTGAATGTAGTGAAATGCCTCTTTCTGGTGGGTTCCCTCTGTACCTCCCAGTTCCTACCATTCCCTTCTTCTGTGGTGCTCGGGGATTCTTGCTTGGGTGGAGCATAAATGATTGAGCTGGCTGCCTCAGTTCAATGGGTTGATGGGACTAACGTCTGGTGACGAGGGTATGGAGCTGTGACTATTTGTCATGGCTCTAGACAAGACAGTTGGCAGTCTTCAAATAACCTTTAAAGACATCTTCCCTAAGCTGTCTTAAAGCAAATGTCAAAGCAAAGTTTGAAAGAATAATAGCCATTTTCTATGCTATGGGGGGGTATAAGCAGTTAGAACTTAACATGTGCTACCCAAGGAAGAAAATAAGGATTTGTTACAAGGTGTAATTTTTTTACCGTGCAGACTGCATTACTTGCCCCTGCTCTCTGGAAAGGATCTCAGTTATTTCTTTCCAGTCTTCCTTTTGTCTTATGTATCTGCAATTAGCTCTGGCAGCTAATAAAAAATTACTGTATGTCGTTCCATCTGTGGTACATGGTTAATGGGTTACTCTGTCAATAGGGAGAGGACGTTATAGCACGAGTAAAAGGGTAGAGGTGGTACTGCTGGCTGAGGTTATGGGTGGTGGGTTGCTCTAAGACTGTTGTGGTTGCTATTTCTACTCTGTTTTGATATTCTTCTTGTCCTAAGTCTCATTTCAGCTAGTTTCTTTCATTATGTGTTCGGACCCAATTCTGTTAAAAAGTTTAAGGATAGAGGTACAGTTTAAGTTATGCTTTACATACCAAAATATATTCCACTGCTTCTTTTGCCCCAACCAATACTTACCAGATGAATGTGGATTTGATGAGCCTTTCCATATCTGTAGGTATTTTTCTAACTTTCTGCTAAACTAAGAAATGGTTCATAAATTCAATCCCTTGCCACAATGAGTTGCAGCATCCTTATTTGTTTGTTCCTTGTTAGTCTATTTACTCCATTCCTTTATATCTTTGTTGTACCAGATCAGGCCCCCCTAGAGATCTTTCATCACCCATCTTGCCATGTGCTATAACCAGTCAATGTGTGATTTCTTCTTACACATTTTGTTCTGTAGTCCTGTTTGAACACTCATTTCATTGTTCTTAACACATTTTTATTCTGTGGTTTCACCTAATGATGCTAATCCAACCAATTGATAATTTAATATATTTTAACATTTTTAAGAAGTACAACATAAAATATGACTGACTGCAGGATAAACATAAGAGTAAATTCATACACAGTAGTAACAAGGAAAGCATGAATGAACCTCCCTTGAGCACTTATTTCTTTAGCCATACACCCATACACACACACACACAGCAATTCTAAGCATTTACTTTCTATTCATATGTATACCATTCCTCTAGTTATTATATACTTTCTCACCTAGACATATTCAAGTAATGACAGTACAGGTATAAGCTTTTAGCTATATATGATCAGGAATTTTGATACAAAATAGATAAACTAGAAGAATGTGAGCAACAAAGACAAGGAATATTTAGGTAACTGTATTTGAAGACGTCTAAGTATAGGGTAAGCAAAGGCGGCTGAAAAAGAAGTTACCATAAGAAGCTTCTTCACAAATGCTGCACACAGTATTAGTTGCAACAAATCTGAACTGATCATTTTGGACAACAAGTACAGACCAACAGCAAATGTCCTAAACTTTGAAGTTTGGCATCTTTTTTAAGTTTTCCTTTAAAACCTATATTAGTTAACTTTATATTTAAAGTATGCTACCAAAATGTTACATTTAATGCACATTATACTCTGTAAACATACAGTACTACAATGTCTAAATACTGCTTTTGTTAGTACCTAACTGTCCACACTAGGTAAATACTGGATATATTAGTTTATAACAACTGTTAGTATATACACACTGCTCACACTATCAACAAATATTAAACTATGGCAGTTTAAGAGTAAACATACACAAACACTTGACAACAGGCCCTTTCTTTCATTTGTCATCGTTTACATTCAACAATTAATTGATACAACACAACCTACAAACAAGCCAAACATTCACACTATGAGGAAATGGTGCCTTAGCAGGTGTTGGTCTTTTATGTCCATCTTAACACCTGTAACTTGCTGCACAGTTTTCACTTCTCCCAAATACAATTGCTAAATTTAAGAGATAATATAAATGACTATTGTGTCATTGTTTTAATGTATAAAATTACCATGCTATCATTAGTGACAACATAGATCAGAAGAGCATTTCCTGCACTTTTGTTAAACTTACAAAACCGGGGAAATAAGTACTACATATGTATGAAAAATTACCAAACTATTAATCCTGTACACTTCAACTACTATAGAATAACCAAACATTAAAAAATATTGTATCTTCTCTTATGACAAAAAAAATGTTTAAAATTTCAACTATTGCTCAAATTTTGAGGAATTGAAGGGTGTGATGTTCCAGGTAGCCATACACATTACATCATTACTTTATTATATTTGATTAAAGGGCAGGAAATGCTCTCAGAAGTAGATCTACCATGATGAGGCCAGCAACAGGCTAATCATTAGTACCGAGTATCTACTGATGGGAAGCTAAAACACTACCATGTGGCCCCGAAACACGCAAGAACACAACAAATCAGTAGTGTGCGCTGTAAGACAACCTACGACAAAACTCAATACCTGGGGTATACCATAGCGAGAGTCAAACTCGGCACGGAAGCTCTAGAAAAGGAAGGGTGATTTGTTACAATGCATGAAGTCACCTTGGCAAAGCCCTCATCTAGTTCAGGTTAGCAGACAAGAGGATTCTTCACAGGCTGACAAACTAATAAAATGTAACAGCAATACAACAAATGATACCTCAAGTCTTTCCATATCATTTAAACTTGAAAAGCGTATCATAAATAAATGTGTTTTAATAACTATCCTCTCAGTCACATAGATAAAATGAAATTAAACTTTTCCACTAAATAATTGAAAACAATATTTCCTAAAATAGTATTATGTTTGCTAAGAAAAAATCAAACAATACCTCTTGAATATATTGTCAATATAGTACACCATGTATGATACATGTTAAAACATTAAAACTAATTATTACATATGAGATTCACATTAAGACCCCTCATTGTGAAAGCATTAAAATCTTTTGACAGGAAATTGATGCCTATGTGAAAATAATGTAACTGATAAAAGGTGATGTATTGACCAGTAGGATTAAATTCCTATACAACAGTATTCACACTTCCTTGGAAACAGTTCTCCACACGGTCATTATAAAACTCATACAAAATATATCTGGACATATTATTACCTGATGCCTCTCCAATAAGGCCTCAGCACCAGTCACATCAGTTGCCAGTTCATCTGAGCTCACTAATCCCATCATTGAAGCAATCCAGGAGCTCAGGTCACGGTAGTCGCTAAGAAAACGTTGCAGGTCATACGAGTCGAGCAGTTTTTCTTTACGTGCATTTGCCTAGAAAATAGAAAGATATTATTTGAAAACAATATAAATGTAACACAGATGAATTGATGGGGGGAGGGAGGAAAGGGTTTCCATGTGGACACTTTTTGTTGAAAGACTAACTCCCAAATTCCCATCAAATTTCATCATCCACCACATCTGGCCGACAGAAGCAACATGAAGAATTTACCATTTAGTATCCAATCCTCAGAGCCACACAAAAAACTTAATTTAATTATTGACAATAATGCAACTTTTGAAATACAAGCAAACAAAATAATTTATTTACTTTAAAACTTAATAAATTGAAAGAATTGTTACCTTGGCTGTCAGTTGCGTCCACAGCTCGTTTATCTCTCGCTGTTTGCCATAAATAGTATCAGCTGCTTCAGGATGGGTTTGCATCAGTCTGTTTGCAGTTTCATCCAACTGCCTTATTTTGTCTCCTAAGGCAGCAAGGTCACGCTCCAAGCCTAGAAGATTATTAGAATTGATATGGTAAATAAAAGGCACATTAGGCAAGTGGTAAAAAAAAAAAAAAAAAAAAAAAAAGCATCGAATGTAATGAACTGGCATTTTCTGGGTGAGCCCCGGAGGCTCCCTGGAACAATCAGGCTATTGTGTAATATATTAGATCAGGGCATTAGTCTAAGGAGTTTGACCTACCAGGAACCATGAGGCAGAACCTGACCTCCACAGAGAGGTTGCAGGGAGCAATGGCCCTGGAAACCCCTGAGGTTGGAGGTTTTCCTCATCTGCCATCGACCGGAGTTAGGCACCCAGAAAGGTTGGCATAGCAAAACAAACTCCACATGGTAAGAAAAGTACAAAGAAAAACCAAAAAGAGGCAGATCTCCCTCCAATCCCTCCGGCTACCTGGCACTCCAGTTCGGAAGCCAAGCATCAAACAACTAAAAAAAAAAAATGCCGACCGGGAGAGAGGGAGGGTTGCCAGGGAGACCATGATACCATTCCACCCATCTTTTCCTATCAATAGTTTTTTGTATTTTGATTCTGTCAAAAGAATCAGACTATTTGTCAAATCGTTTACTTTTGAACATTGTCTTTCAAACTTGAGAGGTTACTAAAATAACTGCAACATATTATATTACAAAAGTTTAAGAGAAATTAAAGGGAGTGTGTACCTTCATGTTTGCGTTGAAGAGCCTGTACTGAGCGCAAATCTTTGCCACAATCATCATTGTTAAGTGCTTCATCCTTCTCTTGGATCCAGTCCTTTGTCTCATCCACATCTCTGTGGAAACGTTGAACCTCGTGTGCAGATCCTAGCTGGAACTGCCGCTCCTGCAGTGGTCGAACATACAAAACGTTACCAAATTTCAAGACAAAAAAAAAAAGTAAATCTTAATTCATCCTTTACACCATCTCTTACAGCAACACACTGGAAATGGCTCCTAAGAGAAGCAGTCATCTTAGCTTGTATTTTGCACCGAGGGTTCCTTCCCATGCTTTACCCATAGTGTACTTACCATCCCCCCAGATATTTGACCCATAGTGTGCTTACCATCCCCTAGACGTTTGATCCATAGTGTCCTTACCATCCCTCGAGACGTTTAATCCATAGTGTGCTTACCATCACCAAGACGTTTGATCCATAGTGTGCTTACCATCCCCCAGACGTTTAATCCATAGTGTGCTTATCATCCCCCCAAATGTTTGACCCATAGTATGCTTACCATCCCCAGTACGTGTGTTCCCAATCTGCACCTCCACCTTGACACTTTTCTTACCGTTTTGGGGACATTGCGCATATACTCAGGAAATGTGTTTTAGCAATATAGAAGACAAAAATCTTGTTTTGAATACTATTTTTCTCTGTGCACACAGATAATGTATTGTGTAACCCAAGTGCTATGCTAGGGTTAAGGGTATTATATAAAACCACACAGGTATGAAACACTTGACCATTACCTGCTGCTAACTACCATAATAAGGGAGTCTGGCAATAAAGCATTAATGTTTGACTGAAATACTATGTCAGTGACACGAAATAAATGTATAAAATTCCAAGAACAACATCAGAGCTGAAGATTGTTGGTCCTGCATCTAACTTTGTAAATAGTAAGGGTGCCATTTTCAGCAAAATCAACACTTACCTTAACCCAATAATGCAAAATTTTATTATATAAATTTGTGTAAATATACTCCCATTGAATAACTATTATCGTATTTTTATCACGTTTCCTAAAATACATACTACAATGATTGTATTATTATTTGACTATAAAAAATATACACACCATATATAGCAAACAAATTAATTTGCATAATGTTTTTTTCAATAATCTATAATCTTGGTTTTCTGGAAACCCAGAGGTACCGATCATTCCAGCTAATTGGAATTACACTATATTAAGATTTTAGAACACAGATATTCAAACTTGAAATGTTACTCTAGAGGACAAATACTTCTGTGGCAAGCAAATGGAACATGTATTCACAAATCACGATAATCTAGTTATTTTTTACACAACAATTGTGGCATCTAACCTGTGCCATTTGCTGGAGGGAGTTCCACTTGGTGTTGAGCTCTTCAATTTGTGTCTGGATCTTGAGGGCAGCCTCTGTCTGACCAAGGCTCATGAGCTGCATGGCAATTTCATTCATCTCAGCAAGTCTAACTTCATTTGCTTGCAGGTCTGTCTTAAAGTCATCAAATTTCTTCTGCAGCACTTCAACCTAAGGGAAATTAGCAATTTTTATTATTTTATAGTTTTTCTAAAGAATTACAAACATTTTAATAATTAACATAACTTGCCAAATTAGCAGTAAGATAACCAATGAGATTTTATGATTGCAACTTGAAAAGCCATAACATTTTATTGTGGGAGGAGAGGGGAGGGGAAAGCTGTCATTGGATCTTGTTAGCACCCAAGGGTGGGTTACCATATTTAATACGACACTGATGTTTAACCCCACCTTCTCGTTATGGTCTCGTGAACTCTCTCCACAACTTCTAAAGCAAAAACATTATTTCCATCACAAATGTCAAGAGACTGAAAAATGCACCAGGTATGAAAATATAGGTGAAGCATAAAGAGATGGACATCATTCCACAGTCAACAATATGTAAACACTGATAGGTAAGCAGCATTATAAATGGAAATATGGAAGTCAAAATATGAACGATGACTGGGTGAAAAGCGTTAGATGTCAACAGAAAGTTAGTAAAGTATGGCACTTAAGAAATGATAGTCTATTACTACCAGCCCTAACTTACGAAAGTCAAATTTGGGTCTGGAGAAGCAGTGTTTACATAAGTACAAGCTAAAGAAAAAAAATGGAAAAACTAGATAGATGATGTATGTGGGAGTGGTACAGTAATGAAGATATGAAAAGTGGTACAAGAGATAGGGGCGAGGAAATGAAATGTGATGCAGGTGAAGCACAAAAAACTTGAATGGACTAGACATCCATCGTGTACCTATATGTAGTTGGTTCCAGGAGTTTGTCTACCCCCAAGCTTGCCCCCCCCCCCCATGTACTAGGGTGAAAATGTTACAAGTATGGTCACCAAGTGGTGGTGTTCAAAGTACAATAAAAATAAATATGTAACTTTACTTTCAAATTACAGTACTTTGTTTCCAATATTCAGAATATAATTTTTCAATATTCAGAATAAACAAGCACCATATTCTATTACTCATCCACAGCAACACCCCACTGCTTCATGTGACCCAGTGTACAGGCTCCTTGTGAGTTGTCCTATTTAGAATCAATTCATTACACCTTCCTTACAAATTGCTGCCACCCAGAAATATCCTTTACCAGTCCCAAGCACCGTTCGCACCTAAATCTGTTGCCTCTCACACTGTATCTGCCCATTTTTTGTTCTGTCCTTTCATACCTCGTATGCTCTAATTCACTCAATACCTTGACATACTCCCATAATTGATATCGAAAGTCACTCATTATACCCAAAACTCTTAAACATGTCCTATTTTATACAAATATTTTTGAAAAGTATAAGACAGGAAGATCCTGTAATAGTTCTATTCCTGAGACTACAAATTGGTAATTTGTATTGCTCACAATGTATTTCCTATTACTACATAATTTAGAATTAGCAACTGCAATAAAGTTAAGAATGCAAAATATGCAAGATGGAATCTGTATTCACTAACAGTTTCGACTATCTAGATCGATCAATGATTCCTATTTAAATCAATAGGAAACTTCAAATGATAGATACCTGTTCAAGATCTTCTCCAACATCTTCAATCTGTGCATGCTGTTCCTTGTCCTTTATCCACTGAGCCAGTTCAGCAGCCTCACGCACAAGCACATATGCCTGCACTGTCTCACTCAACTTCTTCTGCCGCTCTCGTGCCGAGGCCATCAGATTCTCATATTGTCCCTGTTTATAAAAATTATTCACCCATTTTACATCTAATGTTTACTCTGGTTATAACACTTTGTTTTTAAAGAAAAATACCAAATATATATTATGTCATATTTAAGTCCATGCACAATATCAGTACGACATACAAATTAAGATAGAAAACAATTCTACAAGTACTGTAATTCTCCAAGGCTACATAAAACCCTTACACATCAATAATTCTTGCACTAATACAATATTTGAAAATCTTGCTGTATAATGCTTACAAACAAAATCTGGATGAACAACAGTCACTAACCTTAATCTGATTTTGTCGAGCAGCAATAGAGTTGCCATCAGCTAGGTTTTGTTGTGATGCTGTAAGACCAGAATCAATTTTCTTCACATAAGCAGCAGGAACAAAACCTTGGCGGTCATTCACTTCTACTTTCCACCAGTCTTTGTTAGTAGCATTGAGGAGAGTCAGCACATCATTCTTCTTCATTGAAACCTCTCGAGGAGATTTCTCTGTGTAGTCATACAGAGCTACCACACATTCTTTTCCAGTGATATCCATAACTGGCACTTCCTGTTGACGACATGCAGCCGCCTGTTCATCCAGAGCAGCAATGGTGGAACTAAAAGCTTCCAAATCACTCATAAGAGCTTCATGTTTCTTCAATAAAGCTTCAGCGGAATCTTCATCCTTACCAAAGTCACCTCCACCAGCAATTGGCTCCTTCTCTTTCATCCATGACTCTGCCTCATTAGCATCTGCAAAATACTGATGAGCCTGAAGCGAATCATCTAAGTCTTGACGTCGTTGGTTTGCTCGCTCTTTTAGCTGAGCCCAATGCTGGCTTAAAGTATTAACTCTCTGCTTAATTTCCTCTCCTGCAAAGTGCCCATCACTAATCATTTCCTCACCAGAGGTTGTAACAGCTACAATTCTATGTTCATGGTTGTTAATTTCTGCAAGAACAGCTTGGTGCTTCTTTATAAGATTCTGTACACCAATTAAATCTCTGCCACGATTTGTGGAAGCTGCAATTGGCTCTTTCTCTCGAATCCATGCCTCTTCATCATCAATGTCACGGAACAACTGTTGTACCAGCAGGGAGTCTTTCAGACGCTCCTTACGGACTGTCATTGGCCTTTGGAGGGCATTGTAACGTTCTTGAAGAGTCATCTGCTTCGCCTTAATGTTCTCGGCATCAAAGTGCCCACGATCCACAAACTGATCTGCAGCAATTCTGACACCGTCAATTCTATCCTGGTGAGCTCCAACATCAGCTTCGAGTAAAGCATGTTTTTTAAGCAAATTCTGTACACCAGTTAGATCTTTGCCATAGTCCTCACTCATAAGCTGACCTTCAATTTCAGAAAGCCAAAGCTCAATGTCTTCAACACCACGATTAAACTGTTGTTGCTGTGATGCTTCTTCAAGCTTGGATCCCTTCCTACGGGTAGCTTCCTCCAGGGAAGTCCAAAGCTGAACAATTTCCTCCATGCGACTGCTGATCTTATCACTTGCATAATGGTCAGCATCTAAAAGCTCTTTTCCAGTTGAAGTTATTTCTTCAATACGAGACTTATTAGCACTGAGTTCTTGGTCAAAGTTTTGATGCTTCTGAACTTTCCCATTCAAGTTGGTTGGGTCCAAGTAACTGTCATCTGTGGCAAACTTCAACTTCTCATTGATCCAGCCTTTGGTTTCATCACAGTCCCGCTCAAACTGCTGTAAACGATAAGAATCTTCAAGCATAGTACGGCGACGTGCAGACATGTCAAGCAAGGCAGTGCGACGTTCCAGTAGAAGCTCGCGCCTCTGAGAAACATCATCTGCAGCATAATGCTGACCTTCAATTAATTTGGTAGCAAATTCATCCAGAGCCTTTATCTTTTCTTCCTGAGCAGCAAGAGACTTTTCAAAGTCTTCGTGTTTCTTGATCAGAGCTTCAACTGAATCAATAGAATCTCCTAAATCTTCGTTTTCAAGAAAAGCTTCTTGCTTGGCCATCCAGGTGTCAGCTTGTTCAGTGTCACGGTAAAAGAGTTGCAAATCCATACACTGCTCATACAATATGCGTCGCTCTTCCCATAAAGCCAATAGAGCAGCCTTCTCTTGAGTAAGAGTGCTAAGCTTCTCCTTTACTTCCTCAGAAGCATGATGTTTGTTTTCTACCAGCTTTTCACCTGCCTCATGGGTAGTCTTGAAGCTATCTTCACGAGCATCGATCTCACCCTTGTGCTCCTGGTGACGTTCAAGAAGAGCTTCGGCTCCAGCCACATCCTTAGCAAGCTCATCAGCAGAAATGATGGCACGCATATCATTGATCCAGGAGATAAGGTCACGGAAATCAGAAAGGAAACGATGTAAGTAATACGAATCATCTAACCGACGACGACGCTCCTGAGCCTTTGACGTAAGTGTAGACCATGAATGTTCAATTTCTGCTAATTTAGACTTTGTCTGTTCGGCATGATCAGAGTGGATGCCACACAGACGTGTGGCTTCTTCTCCAAGGGTCGACACTTTATCCTCTAAGGCAGCCAGATCACGTTCAAGACCTTCATGTTTACGCTGAAGAGTTTGCACAGAGGCCAGGTCACGGCCATAGTCATCAGAGGAAAGCACAACATCTTTCTCTGCAATCCAAGCAATGGTCTCATCTGCATCCCTATTAAATCTCTGAATTTCATGTGCACCAAAAAGCTTCTGCTGTCGAGTAATTGCAAGTTGACGTAGGCGTTGCCAGGCTTCATTCAGGTCCTTCTTACGCTTTGTGATTACTTCCACCTCTGGGTGTCCCTCTGCCACCAACTTCTCAGCTAGTGCATTAACTTCGGTGACACGATATTCTTGGGCCGCCATATCCTTTTGGAACTCATCAAACTTACGCTGGAGAACCTCCACATGCTCCAGGTCAACGCCAAATTCTTCCGAGGTAACATAAGTTTCCTTGTCATGGATCCAATACATTACTTCATCACACTGGCGCTGGAATTGCACCAAAACAAGCGCTTGCTGTAGACGCATGCCTTTGTCTGCCAGGCGGCTAAGCAGCAGCTCCCACAGACGATGAAGTTCATCTATGGTGGATAACAAAAAATTAGTTTTTGAGTAAATTTAGCATTACCAAAGCAACTCAAAAATTTTTAAATGTTTGTATAACACTGAAAAACCTAACTCCATTTCATTTTCTTTTGGTTACATTAACACTTCTGGTTTGCCAGACTCAAAACTCCATGCAATACTTTTAACTGTAGTACTGTATATATTCCTATTCATACTGTATATATTCATATTTTCACTCTTAAATGATGAATTAACTACTGTTTTAAAGTAACACTGCTAGGTTTTCAAAACTAGTACATACATTAAATGTTACAAGAAATGTAGAACCCAAGTATTTTAAATAAACTTGGTTATTTTTCAAGTTTTGTCTTTTAATCTTTAAAAAACATTTTGAGACGGCAAACTAAACTTTCAATAAACAAATTTGGTGCCAAAATGTTTTCTGGGCATCCACAAGGAAAAAAGAATAAAATAAAGGTTAATTACCTAACTTCAACCAAGAAGAAATTCCTCTGCCTACTTGTGAATCACTTCAAAACTGTTTAAGTTGTTCAGCTTGGCTTGATTTACTCTTTCTTGGATGTCTCCACTAGTCCCCCTCTACAGTCTTTAGTAAAGAGGTTTAAAGCCTCTTCTGCTCGAATGCGAGCAGAAGAGGCTCCACCAACACCACACGATAAGAAGCGACAGTAACAGGCATTAGATGTCGGCTGAGGAAAAGCCAAGAGAGGATAAAACATCCCAGTCGGAAACGGAAGGAAAATGACAAAGGGAAAGAAATGGCAAAAAGATTGCCCAGAAACCTCATTCTGTCGCTGAGGAGACCACAGGTGGGACACCATCAAAGAAGCCACCTGTTTACCATACAAACGGTGAGAAATACGAGTAAAAATTCCAGACGCAAAATGTGGAAGAGAAGGTCGAACCAGTGAAGTACATCACTCGCCAGACCCTTGGATAAAGGCGGATCTGCTGAAAGAGAAAAGGGTTCAGACACCGAACATGCAGTGCCTGAAACCAAGGCTGGGGCAGCCATCAAGGAGCCATAAGAATCACTCCCTTCTGTAAGACTCCAACAATGCTGGAACCCGGAGTAACAGCTGGACCAGGGAAAAAAAGGTAAATGCACCCCTATCTCGACCAGTCAAGCTGAAAGTTGTCCACTATGAGGGCCTCAAAGTGGACACTTTTGAGTGTAAAGGGTAAAGAGGTAGATGCCGAGACCACGCCAACACAAAAAGATTGATGTCTGAATGATCTAATGTCCGGCAAAGCCAGAGGAAACGGCATCAATGGTCCACTCCATGGAAGGAGGAAAAAAGCAAGAGACCATCAGCCAGGATGTTGGACACACCTTTAACACAAATGG